AGCGTACACGGAAGCCTTCGGGCTAAATCGGGGCTGCACCTGATAAACCGACACAGCATAGCGTAAAATCATGCTAAAAAAAAAGCAGTTGTTGGCGCGCAACTTTTCGGTTGTTGCTCGCATGTTTGTGGGGGTTGCGCGCATGTTTTCAGGTGTTTCGATTTTCCCAAAATTGCGCAAAATGCCACTTCGCAATTCAGTAGTGCACCTGCTAGCCACACAAGCCCCTGAATCACGCAAGAACGGAGAAGAAACGCACGAAATTGCGCAAACCACAAAAACCTGCAAGCCCAACGCTGGAAACAAGAACCGGAACACTGCCATATTCGATCACTCTCAGAAATCACAAAAGGAGCCTAGCTCAAAGCTTGCAACCCCAAGCTGCGAAACCCCACAAACCCGCAACCCGCACAAACCCCAACCGTCACAACCCCAAACCACGCAAGATCCCAAACCACGCAAGCCCACAAACCCGAAACCCCGCAGCCCCAAATCCTGCAATCGCGCAAGCCAGCCCTTACACCCAGCTGCATGGAACAGCAAAGCCCGCAAACCCAAAATCGCGCACCCCAAACCCTGCAAGCCCAAACCTGTGCCATGCACAGCATAGACATCAACCCTGCAACATCCTGCAACCCCTAAAATATGCTATTGCACTCAACACACACACAAGACTGACAACCCTAAATCCTGTAGCCCCTCGATTGCTCGAACCCATGCAACCCAAGTCGAAGGATCCCTGCGCCACAACAGCCAGCAGCCCCACAAATCCAGCAACCGGCACCAAAACCCAAGCAACCATCAATACCGGCATAGGACAGCACCTGCAAAGCCTAGCCCCTGATCCAACATTCCGGCTTTAGGCTTTGGGCTGGCGTCAGATTTGCGCAGCTAGTCTGGCCACCCCAACCTAGCTCAAGTCCGATCTTGCCTAGCCAATCCCATCCAGCTCACCACCGCATGGTTACGCAACGCGAAAACACAAGCAGCAACTCAATGGAAACTCGATCAGCATCCACCCTAGTTTTGCGAAGCCTCGCACTACCGCTGCCTACTCATGGTCTTTATCTTACACAAGAGAAAAGCGGTAAGCTTGTTGGTGTACGGCCACCAAATGGTCAGGTGACTCCGATCGAACGAGATCCTGTAATTCCATGCTATGCATGCATGCATGTTCACGGAACACAGGCATGTATGCATGCATGCACATATTACGCGGAGCTGAAATGAGAACGTCCTTTGAAGAATTACAGGAAACCCCAAGTCCAATCCAATTATGCAGCTATGTGGGTCATAGCAACCTAGACCCTATAAGGCCGGAGAGGATCTCATATTATACATAGTGGCACGCAATTGTAGGATTCGCGAAACAGGTTATCAGGAGTCCTGCGATATACACATACTGCGGTGTCGGGAAGCCTAGCAATCTTCTATAGAAGCCCAAATCTCGAGGTAGCTGAATACTTAAGAAACTGCGCAAGTCACGTGGCGGGATGGATGGGTTGTTCCTTGCAAAGTTCAGGAGGGATATCTAGACTTCAATTAAGTGATAAAATAGATAGTCCATCATAGAGCACGTCTTTGCCATATGGGCAGAATATGATCATGATCGTTTGAATATGCTACAGCTAGAGAATTAGCAGGATTACAATTACCGCCAACCACGTGCCTCGATTCTACCTGAACTATACTGATTCTATCGATCCTTGTATAACCAATGTACCCCACGCATATTCAGGCTTGCTTGAGTCAATCTACCCGAGCCTGCCCCATTATTATTGGGAATTGAACCCGGCACTAGCCTCCAAACCCTGACACATCCCAACGACCAGGCCTTGTAACCCGCGTAAACCTGGAAACGGTGTTTACGTGCACTCTGTAGCCTCCAGAAACCCCGCAGTGCCTACACATAAACCCCGCGTAGGCTTCTACTTCGCTGGAGTTGGAGGAAGACTGGAGACTGGGGCAAAGATCCCGAGATCTTTCTGCGAGGCGCTGCCTGCTGCATCCTCTGGGTCTGAGCTACAGCATGCAGACTTGGCGAAGTCAAGCGGTCACGCTGGCCACTTACACCTATAGTACGCATGACTCTCGATCGTACAAATATTGCAACTTTTCCGCACAACCGTGGCTGCGCAACGAGTTGACTAGAGTTAATTGGAACAGCGCAGCAAAGTGAACTACGCATTATCGGGTACTTTGAAATGTGTCGAAGGGAAGCAAGCCTGCCACCTGCTGGGAATTCTCAACCCCTTCGCCCCATAGACGTACTTCAAAAGACTTGGAAGTCCTGCATCCGACCAGTCATCTTCTCCCATCTCTAAGGAACACAGAAGTGCAATCACTTTCTCTTCCGAGCAGGAAGTCGTTGCAGCTGTGTGGCTGGATTGGTTGAAGGCCGGGAGCAGCTGTGACATATGGTGCCCGAACTCCTTGGTGTAGGTCCTGGGCAAGCGTATTTTGCAAGGGAGGGTTTACGCTAGCCTTGGCAGGCTTGCCTATCGTGCAGCTCACTGAAAATTAAGAGCCGGTCTGAGTTGCTTTGAGGCCTGCAGCCCCTGTGAAGCATTGTTTGCCTTGCTTGTCGATGCTGCGCTTCACGATCGGCGGAGTCGGCTTGCTTTTGCGCCTTGCCTGCTGCTCTTCTTTGAACGCACGAAGGAGGGGCCCCCTCTGAAACCTGGAAATAAATCGGCGATTGGACCACAGGATCGTTCTTTTTGGAGTGGCACTACAGTAGTGCATCATCCAGAATCTGACGACAAAGACCTGCGATCACTGGTTGCTCTAGCTGTACCAATTGATCTTACTAAAGCAGCGCTGCGTGATATTGGTCAAAAGTCGGAACCTCCTGCACATCACAAAGCCACTGAAATCGTGGATGACGGGCAGCAAGGGAAGACCCTGGTTGCTCCAGAACCCAAGCCGCCCCCAGGGATGCGCAGAGCAAGGAAATCAGCACCGTCCTTGCAGGCCGGCTAAGCATGATGGCGGGTCTAGGGAACTTTCGGAGGATATTGTTATATTACATTCACCTATAGGCCCATTCTTTTAGCAAGATTACAGACTCAGTCTTTGCTGGTGCAAACATGAAGCTTGCGGGATTCTTGTATTTCGTGAGCTAGACTAACTACTGGACGGTCCTGCTCACCATGCCATTACCCTTGACAACACTGTCGCATGACTCGTTGCCGAGGGGGTTGAGATAAGATCTCATCGTCACACCGCGTGCAATCGAAACCCAAGAACTACATTGCATGCCTTGCCATAGAGTAAAACCGTCGTCGGCTCCCTTCAGGACGGACATGAGGTGAAGCCTGGGCTTAGCTCATTTGGGAAAAACCAGGTAGCTGTCGTATGTAGGTTAACAGAAAAGCATACACTGCCTCACAATCCACTGGGCCCCGATCGCAAACCCAGCCGGCGTAGTCACGTCCATAGATCGAGCATATTTCACGTCCATTGAAGCAACGGGACAAGCATGCATAGTCCGGACAGCATTGCTCATCACAGCTTCACCCGCATAGTGCTCTACGAATGGAAAGACCTGCGACATGACTGAGACCCCACAGGACTGTTGCTGCAATTCCAAATTCAGCACTGACCCTCCAACAATCAGGCCTGCTCCCCATTGAATCGTTCATTGAACAGGAGGCAAAGGAGGGCCAGGATGAAAGCCTGCAGAGACAATGATTTTGCGAAGCATCCAAAATCCAGTATTATCGTTGTATATCAGCCTTCGACGACTTTCCGTTCTGCATCCTAACACAAACCATTGAGCACATATTTAGGATTGGATCTTAATTCTTGATTCTTTCCGTATCATCCGGCCTTTGGGGCTTGCATCTTGAGCAGGCCGTGGACCATGCGCTCGGGCTTCATGTGGCCAGCTCGCGGCTTAAAGCTGCGACCAAAACTAACCGCTGATCGATGATATCATCTGAGGCAAGCATATCTTGCTATCGGTATGGGTGCATGCAACTCACATAATCTTGCACTCCTGCGGCACAGCACTGCAGACAGTCGAAGTGCATGCAGCTGCATGGTGCACTGGCATAGGGGGCGGTAACCTGAATCCGATGTATTCGAAGAGCAATCTGGTTCTCCAAGGCGACGACGATGCATGACCTGCGCAAGGGCCGGTATAGGTTCAGGACGGCAAGGGGGCTTCATTACCATGTTTAATCCAGCACGTGCTCTCGAGTCAGCCAGAAGCATCAGCAGGACCATTGTAACATGTGTTACAATAAACAGAATCTCAAGATTTTTGTCCACCGCGAAAGAGATCAGGACAGCTCGCAAAGAACCAAAGTCCTAAATGGATGAGCACGAACAGATGATTGCAGCAGACCTGCTATCATGATCCAGGCAGCATCATATAGACCGTAAATTGAATCAACACAAACGACATACAGCGTAAGCCAATCTCAGAGTGTTTGCTGCAGACTTATCGATCAGTTCAAGCCGGCAGCTGCAAGGCTTCAAAAGGGGCCACAAAGGCCCAAGCAACCAAAATCAGCCTTTGCGGCGAGAGGTTCCATTTGGACCCCGTAATGCTATCCCCTCGCAGCTCAAAGCATGAAGTTGCTTCGATCACATAAGCCACTCGATTCTAGGAATCAGTAGCCATACCCTTCTTCTTGAGAAACGCCTCGACTTGCTTGCGAGACTTCCTTTTGGGGCCCTCAAAGCACTCCTTGCCGGCATCAGTCCATTTCTTACCTTAGCTAGAACGGAAGAATCAATCAACGACGGCAATGTGTTGATGCGTATGCACGCAACTGTTCAAATATCCGCTTAGGAACTGATGTTGTCATCCCGAAGGAACTCCCAGGCCGCATTTGTAGCAATCTCGGGCCACTCTTCCGGGGTCTCGATCGTTTGGCCTCGCTCCTTCATCTTCTGCAACACATAGGTCCAGAAGACATCCTTCGGGGATACGACTATATGGATTCTCTATACTATTCCCACAGATATCGTATGCATCACAAACCCGCAAACTAAAAGTCCTCCAGTTTGGAGTGACCGGTCACGAAGATGCGGATCTTTGCAGTGTAGGCGTCCCGGATCGCGTCGAATCTGGCCATATTGATGGGCCTGGTTGTGGGCCGAGGACGCCTGGCAAAGGTCTTCCTGCCCTCCTCGTCCCCATCCTCCTCCGGCTCAGCCTCAGAAGGCTCCTCCATCTCATCTTCATCGGCCTTTTCGGAGGCCGGTGCAGGCTCCGCATTCTCCGCAGCCTGGGCTTTGTTGCGAACACGCCGGAGGACTGATTTCTCAGCCTTGCGCTTCCCCGTCGCGCCAATCCAGGTGCTTTCGTCTCCACCCAAAGCATCCCAATCCTCATCATCCTCGTAGCGCTGCGTGGCATCCTCCATGCCCTGCTCCTCCTCGTACTCAATCTCGTGCGCACTCCCATCGCCACGCTTGCCGGCCTTTTTCTTTCCAGCTCGCGTCTTCGAGGCTTTGGAGGGCGAGACTTTCTTTCGCCCACGAAGCAGGAGCTTCCTGGACTTGGATCGACCGATCTTGCCTCCACTGCGCCTGAGCTTCGGAAGCTCTGCCGGAGGAGCTTCGCCCAAATCCTCGTCATCCTCAGGAGGAGCTTCCAGCTCCTCTGGCTCCGGATCCAGCTCCTCTCGCTCTGACTCAGATGGACCGACGCTGGCACAAGCAAGGACCTTGCTGGTCTTGGCTTTCGCCTTTCCCTTTGCTTTTGCCTTTGCTTTGCCTTTGGCTTTCGCCTTAGCCTTGCTCTTCGGCTTTACACCGGCAGAGCTCTCTGCCGCATCCTCGTAAGCCTCCTCCTCCTCCTCCTCAGTCGGCTTGCTCTTCTTCTCGGCAACGAGGCCCATCTGCATCTGCCGAGTGATGACTTTTGCAGCCTTGGCTGCACAAAGCGATGAAAATCATAAAACCACGCAGCACACTTGATTTCGCGCATGCGGGCCAAATGCATGACCAATCTTACCTCACACTTACCTCAGGCTAGCAGCAGGCTTCGCATCGGCAGGAAGGCTTTCACCAGCCCGGCTCGCCTCAACGGCTCTGAGCCGACGAGCCTCCTGATCACGAAGCTGCTGTCGCAACTTCTCCTGGCTTCGCAACGTCCTCTGGGCACGTTCCTGCTCGGCCAGGGCGTTTTCGCGATTGCGAAGTTCCGCCTCCTTTTTCTCCATCTCTCCCCAAGCATGGACCAAGTCTTCGGGGCTTGGCAGCCATTGCTGCGTCTCCAAATTGTCCATCCCCACACCAGAAATGCCTGCCCAGCAAATTGCGCTACAAAAATCAATGTATGATCATGCATGCAATGGACATATCCAGATTGAAACATAGGGACACACCCCAATTGCCTGACGTCGCGGTCGTCGCACTCGTAGTGTCAGTGTCACCCGAAGCTTCCGATCCAAAGGAGAGCTTTCGTCGCAATTTCTTATCCTCTACGATCTCCTTGTTCGGATGCCTAAGTTTGGATCTCAAGAACGAAAATTCTCGCATGTTCCCATATGAGATGTAGCGCACATACCGAATGAACACTATACTCTAATCGTGGCAAGACTACAGCTTCATGTTGATCACTGCAAGGACCTGCGCGATGGCTTCGGAATCCATCTTTGCAAGCTGCGCAGCAAGCCCTGTAGAGCCAACACGAGTTTGCGCAGGCTTCTTTTCATGATCCTTAGGAAGCGTGCTGGCTGCATAATACTGATGATCTGCATGACTGATTAAGAAACGCACTTCCGCAGAAAACGTGAAACATGCAACACAGTTTCCAAAGGAGTCGTGGGGGAAATGTTGATCACCTCGGAACTCCTGGTCGTAGGCTTCATCGGGGTCTCACAGACAGCCGCGGTCTCCGGGATCGGGGCTGCGAAGATGGGTTCCTCCAAGTCAGGAACTGGAGCTGCGGGAGGCTTCGGTACTTCCGCCGACTCATCCACTTCATCGACCGGTCTGGCCAAGGAAGAAGCCAGACTGTCACCAGCTGCCGCAAGTCGCGCGATTTCTTCCTCAGTCAGCGTGTCCTCAGCATTCGAAGCTGCCTGAGCCGATGCAGTTTCACGCTGCTGCCTCTCAGCAGCCTTCTTCGCATAATATGCGGGATCCAGACTGAACCCCAACTTTGCCTCGAGCTCCTCCCGAGGAGGAGCCTTGAGACAGGCTTCGTTGGGGCTTTCCTGCGACGCCCACTGGTTCAGAACCTGCTTCAGCGCTGCATCGTCCATGACAGAAGTGGAACTGTCAGATGTAGGAGCGGATTTCTTACGTCCCCGCTTGGGCTTTCGAAGCGCAGATCGGCCTTCCTAGCTTCGGCAAGGCTTTGAACCCGGGAATCATTTAACGCAATCATCCACTCATGCCCGACAAAGCAAACGCCAAAAATTGAATATGGTAGTGTGCAATCGACTCTCGATCTTTATTAGTAATGTCCTCGTACGCCTTCGAGTAAGCTTTGGCCATGTCAAGAACCATGGCCCGAACAGCAGGATCCTCATCTTCATGTTTCATAGGGTAGCAAAAATCACTACACACAGGCATGATATAAATAAAGACAGGATTCTGCTTTCTACATGCACAGAAAACATATATAATGTGCAACAAAGGCTTCGCGAGGCATTTCCCACTTTGACCATTTGCGTTTCACTGATGTCAACATAGTCTTTGCGATTTTGCTGGATTTCTTGGCGGCCCTGTTCATTCTGGCCAGGACTACGGGATCTCTACGCTTCTCATCTTCAAGTTCCTGCTGATAGAAGGCCTCGAACGCTTGGATCAGGATTCGAAGGGATTTGGAAATAATCCCATGGGTAGCCATAACCAGGGTAAAGGGCCTCAGCACCATTGAATTCAAGGCCATATTGGCCAAAGTGGGCGAAATGTGCTTCCGCCCGACCGAATCGAGGAACAACCCATCGAGAGATCGCGCACGCTTTCGGAGAGGAGGATGAGCATCCCACATCTTCACACATTCCAGGAAGTTAAACGACTTGAACATGTCAGGTGACTAGCAAGGCCCCGCTTTGAACCCCATAACTGCGAAATCAGCACTACTGCTTCTTCCCACACGAAAGCTCAAGCAACCTGCAACAGGTGGGCGGCGGGCGCACCTTCGTTGCTCATCTGTGGTTTCACCTGGCCGAAGAGACGGCTGTACGAGTATGTGCCAAGAAGTTCTAGCCAGAAAAGTGAATCGAATCATGCCAGGCATGCCTGCCCGTCTTCCGTAGAAGAAGATCGTCGAGACATGGAGCGAGCACGGTTATCACAGCTCTTTGCAAAGCATGCCCAGAACAATGCAGTCTCGAATCTCTTTTGCCGAAAGCTTAATTCTACCTTGATGGCCCTTCCAATCCGACCCTAGAAGAAATCAAAGCTCTCACCTCTCGAGCACTCACATCGGCGTCAGGCCTCAAGTCGAGATTCAGATCACTTGATCTAGCCTTATTCAAGAGGTGTCAAACCTGAGCAAGGGACCCCGAAGGAATTTCGGGCGTTTGGTGCTTTTCGGACGCTTCTGCAGATTGCGAACGTATCGGGGAACAACTATAAATAAAGGAGCGTATAGCTACCCAGGTATATATATATCACCGATGGACGATAAAGCCTTGATGCTATCCATTTTACGATCTCTCTTGTCTTGTCGGGTGCATTCGGCAAACTCGGGCGGCATGTCGTCATAATCGACGTTGTCTCAAAGCTTCACTAGTGAAAATTGCTGCCTGGAGCGCTCCTGAATGAAGCCATCCATCTTCTGAAATCTTACGGCACCAGCTGTTCACGACGCAGAAAGGCGCAGAACCTTGCTCTCGAAGATCTTTTGCAACCCAAAACTTTAGTTGGAAGCGGGCCTCCTGACCATAGCCGATTCGGGCCATCCAGCTGCTGTTAACCTTCCCTATGCGGTCCCCAGCACATACCAGTTTGAACCGACAATGTCGGCCGCGATTTGACATGAGAGCTGACCGAAGCAATGCTTCTTGAAGATGGGTAAGCCTCCGCCAGACAGAGATTTCCAGGCCCAATGCCTCTGTGGATGATTACTTGCTATTGCTTGTGCCGATGTGTCTCGCAGCACGGGCATGGAACAGCGACCATGGAGGCGAGTCAGTCCTTCGACTTCATTGGAGCCTCGGTGGAGATAGCCCTCTTCGACTCAGCCGACAAGTGGTTCATCACCGCCTTCCGCGGCCTGGCGTCCAAAGGATGCGTGAATGTGTCCGGAGCCCAGCAATCCTTCGAGCAGCTGCCGGAGGAAATGCGCGGGAAGCATGGCCCACGTGTCATTTGTTTTCGCTCCGCACAGGCAGTGGCAGGATCGTGTTATCGAGGTGAGAACAACGCAGGCCAGGGAGTTGTGGAGGGCACGTCAACATACGCAGGGTCTCGCAAGCATACTGGAAGACTGCAGAGAGGCGTTTTGCAACAAGCTTGCAGTGCCTTGCACATGCAAGGGTGCTCGCACCAGCAGGCGCTCTCTCACTCACTCACTCACTCACTCTATCGGTCAGTCAACCAATGAATCAGTAGATCATTCAATTTGGGGCTTGCACATAGAACCTGTGGGCTGCAGGGGGAGCTAGAAACAAGGCTTGACATTGCCGCTTCACCCTAGGTTTGTGCACAGATGGGGTTGTCCAAAACAGTAGGGAACAGCATCTGTTCGATTCAGGCTTATACACGGCTCACGCCGGTTCAGAACAGTTCTGCAGAACTTAGGGCTCTAACCGTCGAACACAAAATCGTGTATTTCCATGCTTCTGTCATCTCACGACAAGCTTCCATGGCGAAGGTGAGGGTCGCTGGCAAGCCGAAGCTCGGCGACACGAAGGAAGACCAGCCTCTCGCTGCGAAAGTGAATGACCGTGTGGAGGTGCACAGCTCGAGCAGGAGCAGTGGCGGACTCGGTGCTGGAGCCCCTTGCTTGGGCAGCATGCACAGGTCAAGATGCCGGCGTCGTCCTCCAAACCGGCATCATACATCTCTGCCACTGTGCGATCGACTTGCGGCCCATATTTTCTCGTTTCGCTGGAGGGCAGGGGACGACAAGAGGCCGGCTCTCGGCTGTCTTTGCATGCGGGAGAGGGGAAGGGCAAAAGTAAGTTGCATGCATGTGGGTTTCCGAAGATCCGTATTACTAGCCCCACTCCAGCCCTAGTGATCAGTGCGAAGTCCAAAGAGTCCGCGAGTAGGGAAAAAGGCACTGAGACCTTGTCTCTATCCGGTCTAGAGTCTAGATTCTCTGACTGCAGCTGTACAAGGGCAGTGCTGTAGCCAGCAGTTGCAGTTCTCGTTACTGTTGCTACTGCGACATACAGAATCTTAGGAAACAAATGAGCGGAGAGCTAGCCCATCGAAGAGCCAGACTAGGGCCGGCATTAACGAATGGGCCCGCCAGCGCGCATAAGCAACAGTCGCACGCGCGTAAGGCTTGCACACCGGTTGCTTGAAAAACCGATGTGTGAAGCGGTGTGCGCAAGGGATTATATTGAGAACTTATAAGGACGATGACGATGACGACGACCACCAACTACCACTACGATTGCTGCTGCTACTGCTACTGCTATCGCTCCTGCCCGGCCCCTTCCCCTGCTCCGGCTCCTGCTCCAGCTCTTCCCGCTTCCAGCTGCCGCACCTGCTCCTGCTCGCTCTTACTCTTACTCTTGCACGTGATCGCTGCAAGACGTAGTGCAGCATGCTTGTTCCTGGTTGTGATCCAGGCATCTTGGGTCGCGGTCATCGTTTTTTGTCAGTAGCTCTGCAGCCGTGCGCATACCGATCGACGAGACCACCCATTAGATGGAGAGCGGAGACCAGGCTTGAAAGCCACCTTTCAATACGACAGAAATCTCAACCGAGTGGAGTCACAGTGCGTGAAGGATACAGACACCCATTTGGAATGAAACTGTGTCACCAGAACGAATGCTGAAGGCTTGATGTCGCCTGAAGATGATGTCCACCTCGCCTCAATCCTTGGCTTGGGAAGTACATCATGTAGCTTGCACGGGTATGTCTTCATCCCAGGCCACTCCCGCTTTTAGTCGCGCATTTCAAGTCCGCGCTTGAACAGTATCTGTAAACAACACGAACGACAGCTCTCTCTCTCTCTCTCTGTCGCTGTTGCAAAGTGGGCAAAGTGAAACACAGGACCTCTTGGTGTTGCCTGATCAACTCCGCGCCCCCGGACGGACTGAGGCCGGGCATGGGTGCATGTAACGGTTGCATTCGTTGCATTCGATGCTGAAAAGGGGCATCACTGTGGCCCTTCAGGCGCTTAGCTCCATGGCTCTTGAGGAGGTTGTGCTCGACTGCCCTGAAGGCGCGTCTTTCATCTTGCAGAGAGGTGACCGTCGTATATGCTTGAAGTCGTGCTTTGTGTTTCACTTACTTCCTCCCGGAAATACAGCCTAATTATGTTGCATGCACAGGCATGTCCCTTCTGTAGTTGTACAGCAAAACCGAAGGAACCGAAGAAGCACACCCCGACACCGACACTGAGGGGCTCAAGCAGGCCGGTCGCATCCGGTCGTGCAGCTTGTCCTGATCTGCTCAGTGGCTGAGTGGGGCGTTACAACGCAGGGATTTCTCGCTGACTTGGAAAGTACGGAAGCGAGATCCGGCAGGAGTGGCTGATGACTTTGCAGCGTGAGTGCAACCTCCTGGGCCTCGGTGTACGGCACGGAGAGTCGGGTCGTCGGCAGCTGAAGCTCGTCGGTGAGAGGACGGCAGGGACCTGCAGGGAGGCTGGGACTGCCACTGCGAAGTCTTCACCGCCAGGAGCTCCACCACCCGGGCAAGCAAACTGTTGCACACCGTGCACTTCTGGAACCAGGCGGAAATCGCCAAGTGCCGGGCGCAGCAAGCCGACTTGGTGCCTTTTCTGCAAAGCGGAGTTCAAGCGAGACTGGCTAGTTTGCGCGCTTTCGATGATTGCGCCGTCCCCAACTGATGAATCCATCGCACAGAGAATGGGAAACCGGTACCGGAATCCTACAGACCTGTCTTGCGGCGAGCTCTTGGTATTCAACACCTCTTCAAGTGTTCGATTCGGATTGAAGCTGGCTGAGGAAAAGCGCCTGTCATGTCTCGAGGGCGCCTCGCGGGAGGAGCTTTGATCCTCTTAGGCTTCGTCTTGCATCTGTTCCATAACATCGGTAGCATTCTCCAAGCCAGTTTGCTCTTCAAGGAGGGAAAGGTGATAGAGTTTCCGGTCGACATGGACATCATGCAGCTGATCATTGGTCGGCCTGCCCCTTACGCCGCCCGGTGTCCCCGCTGATAGACGATCAGAAGCCGAAATGACATGCACGCCGACAAACTGATCCTACATTGTCCAAGCCAGTGATCACAGTGAGCAATGTGCCGGTCCTGCAATTTGTCATGCGAAACCGTAGCTCGCTTCTCTGCCTGGAATGATCTTCAGATAGGACGATGCAGGGCCGAACTCTGAAAGCAAACGGGGTAAGAACACAGCGAACAGTCCTCACAAGGTTTAGAGCAATAAGGGGCCGCGTTGGTTCAGCAAAAAAATCTTTCATGCGCTAGCGATGCAAAAATGAGCACATGCGCTCCCAGCGAATTCGACCTGCTTCATGTTTCAGAAAATGTGTGCATGTTTTCTGAAAGCGGCATGTCATGCGTTGAACATGACTTCTGGAACATCCCATCGCCCTATATACGTAATTATATTTAAATTTATAATCACATAGTGTACATGTACGCATACATACATACATGCATACATATTTACATACATACATATCTATGTGCATGTAAGCGTGCGGTATGTACGCATCATCTCACTATACGTGATGTTTGCTTGCTGTTGTCTTCACTTCACAGCAGTATCGATCCTTCAGCGGCCTCTTCGGGTCCATGAGCGATCATCGTTTGCACAATTGAAGCTCAACGCCACGATGCCTGAGACTGTCATTCCTCCAGGTATGAGTCAGCACCATGCCACCAGGCTCTTCCATGTGTCAGAATGACCCTGGCAGCGGGTAGAACGTCTGCCCTGCCCATGACGTCTTCACCTCATGACTGCATTGTCTCTTCCCCACCTTCGGCATTGACAGGCATGCCCAGCCGTACTACAAGATGTTGCAAGCGAGTCCATGTCCACGGAGCGACAAACCGACTCACCACCGCCTTCGTGGCAGCTCCTCAGGTCCGGCAAGAGGCTGCAAGATATCAAGGCCCGGACTGCCGAGCTGAGAGCAGTGAAAGAGAATTGTCCAATTCGGCGCTGTCGTTTCTGCCAGAATCTCACTCACGTATATAGTTTGATTTCTTGATGACGGCACAGGGCCAGCTGGGTGTTGGGATCGAGGCTGGCTGGCACGCACCACTCTTTCGTGATCCGGTACAATACATCCTGAGTAATTGCCACTCAGCATGCCATGCAACAAGGTCGAAGACGTTTTGTAGCAGGTGTTGCATGTCACGCATGGACGGCATGTAGAGGGGAACGACGTTGCAGAATTTCTTCCTGCGCGGCCTACTTTTCTACATCGTCGGCCGAACATCACAAATTGATTTCATGGTTGCCTAGAGAGGCTCCCCATCCATGAATCTCGGGGTGACGTGATACCCGTGCCATCGTAGTTGTAAGGTTCCTTTTCCAGGTACAAGTACTTTAATTCGGATGCTCTTGTGGATTCCACGTGTGGTTTTGCGTTGCCAGCAACGAGTAAAGAGTAACGTATGCTGGCAAGATCTAAAGAATAAACGAAAACGATGACGATTCGAGGGATAAGAAACTCAATGGTGGGGTGTATTGAATTGACCAGTGTTCCTACAAGAGAACCCGCACGAGCTGGCTAGGTGAGACTTCACAGGCAAGAATGAAAGATGCATGGCTGCTCGACTAAGCCTTGTTCGCGCATAATATGTACATCGCCGCCGGCGTCGTGGATGTCTGGGTCGTTGCATTCCATTGAATTGATGGCAGTTCAGCCGCAAGCAAATCGGGATGACGGATGATGAATGGATGTTCATCACGTTTTACTTGCGAGCCTCCTGGTGTTTTTGAACCAGTGCTGTTTGGCATCGGGGCCAACACACACTTTCAGTTTTGCTGTTTGTCCCTTGTTAGTTTGTCAGTGTACTGGAGCAGTTCATCATCTGAAGACCCCGGGACAACGGTCTCGAGAGTTGCGAGCGCAGGTGCTCAAGTGTCCACAAGACAGGACGCGTCGGAGATTGTGCTAAAAAGGCGTGTGTGTACCGAATTCGCCCACGCCTCGTGCTTCAACATGTGAGGAACCAGGCCATCGCCGGGCGCTCAGCCGTGAACACTTTCGGGTTCGAGGAGCCGTTGGCCGCACGCATCCGCTTGCACGATTGGTGCGGGGGTTCGAAAGGTTTCTTGAATTTCTTGCTGCTGCATTGGCATCCTGTTGCCCTCGCGCCATCACACGTCGCTGATATTATTTCGGCTTTTGCAGGTGCGCGTCGTGGGTCAAGACCCGGATGCGGTAGCCGCAACGCAGAGGCTCCGGACGAGTGGCTTCAGTTCATCCGTCCAGGAAACCGTGACGGTGAGCGGCCTTATGGGCAGCCTGGAGGCAGCTTGAGTACAAGAGGAGGAAGCTGTCCTTCGACCATGACGAAGTCGGGCCAGGAGACTCAGTCCCGCCATGTCCCGTCGATCCTTCGGGGATTTGTGGCCTCGGAGGGATGGTCAGGTACATCTTGGGCAGGAACCTGGCCAACATTCGGGAGATTGCCGAAAAGGCCTTGCCGGTTGCGTCGTTCCTGTTTCTGCACATTGGCCGTCAGACCAGCCTTCTCCAGCTCACAAATCCCACTTACGGCGAACTGTCGTGGTGTCCGCGTTGCTTGTCGAGCAGGTTTGCCATGTACATCACTGGACTGGCTTAACAGCAGATGCTTCCGCGAACTTGTAAACATGAAGGTTAGTCTATTTCCACTTCGTGTTGCATCCAGTGGGTGATGCATGTGCGTGGATCTGCGCAAGCTACTACGAGCTCCTGTAGGACTGACCCAAGCAGCATGACGTGGCATGATTGTCCGATTGCTATGGGTGCTGACTTTGGCAGGCACGTAGTCAACACACAGTGCGCTTTTCCGCAGTGCTCTCTTCTCCAATCAATCCCTTGTGCGACCCAGGCCTAGCGCTGACAGCTCTTTTCCTTACATTCAGGCCCAGGGGATCCCAGCTGGGCCCAGTGCCGGTATGTGCCAGTGCAATGTGCTTAGCCGCAGAGACGGCTACGTAGCGATTTGTGCATGCTCAACCGAGTGCAAGGCATCTCCATCTCAGACCACTGCCTGGCGATGGCGCGACTTGTATGAAGAAACGTATATAGGGTCTGCTTCCGAACATGTGCTATTTGCCATTCTGCCGACGGTGCTGGAAGCGTTACAGCGGAAGAATGCAATCTTTTCGCGATGCCCAAGGCTGCTCATTTGACTCATGCCTGGGACTTGGACCGCCGAATGCACTGCCGTGCTTGCCAAAATATTCTCGGTAAGTAGCTGTATTGTAGAGCTTAGTGGAATGGCCCCCAATTCTCTCTGTACAGCAAGCTCGGCTTCATTATAAAAGAACTTTAGTAGATCTTGGTATGCTGTGCGCTTCGAGGTGGTCCTGAGCATCGATGACTCTGAGCTCCGCTCGGGTCCCAGTGTTAGCCACGTCACATCTGTTCTGATGTGCAGCTGCTGACAAGGTGAGTGTACTAATCATGCATGCAACCGTGTCGTTCGCTGCCATGTTTCGAATTTAGACATGATGCGCGTGCCAGAAGGACCCTTGGCGGTGGCCATCCACTCTGCATGGGTGCATGCAGCGGCCTTTGTAAGGCGGTGCAGGTCCCACGGGTTTCCAGGTCACTTGGGTGCTGCACCATCCCACGTCCGATGTCGACAAACCTCCATCCGGCACGGGGACAGCCGAGGCAGCGGACCCTGACTTGGTCCAGTTTCATGTCATAACCTCGCCGCACCTTCAGCAGCATCTTGGCCATGAAAGCCCTGCTTCCCATGGCAAGATGGCTAGCGCTGCTCTTTGCTCCAAGGATCATTGCGGAGCCAGGGCCCTGGAGGAAACAGAGCAGAGACTCAGACCCCTCCGCGTCACCTCGAAGGCAGCTCTCGGCTTACTTGCCGGAGGCGAGGGTGCAGGCCACCACGTGCTACCAGTCTATGCCAGTCTTGAAGTTGCTTGCAACCATGACGAACCAGCTGCAGGTCCACGCCAACGACCGAATGTTGAAGAAACTCAGCAGCTTGGCTCTGTTCATGATAGTTGGATCGGCTTGGTTTGTTCGGGGGCCAGGCCTTTCGCGATATTGGTGCTTGCAGCAGTGATATCAGTGTGTGACTGTTCATGGCCGTGCTACCGTTTCTACCGTCCTTTCCAGGGGCTGTGGAAGAGTTACGCAAGCCGCCACGATCCTGAAACATCCCTGGCCTGCAAAAGTGAGCTGCTTGCATTGAGGCGCATTCGTGACCTTCAGGGCATCTTCACAGGCGGGCCTTGAATTCGGCGGCTCATGGTCTGCTCGACCTGTATTTTGTGTACATACCTTACGTTCTACGTTCTACATCCGGGTGGGTTTGCATTGCAAGATTACAAGTGTAAGAAAACTTAGAAGCTTGCAGGTCCTGAGCCGAGACTCCAGTATCTTTCACTTCGTCCGCTTCTTTTTGCCTGAGCCGGGTTCCAAGAATTTGCAGTGGCACGGCTACTGTAGAAATTTGCATGCCAGAACGGAGCTGGAGCCTGTGAGTGGCCCGTGGCCCGTGATAGCCCAGGTTTTTGGGAAGGACCTTGCGATCTGGTGTTCGTTGTGGGTAGAAGGGGATGCGACGGCGAGCGCAGTGGAAGCGCTGTCTGCTGTAGCTCCACTCATCATCGGACGACTGTCGAGCGGCCATGGCGTGAAGCCATCGTGAAACATGTTGCAGTTCGCAGGAGTTTACGAGGAAGAGCATCGCGCCTGGTCTATCTCGCGGCCTGCTCAGAGCACTATAGCTTCTGTTCGAAAATGTGGTGAGCTGCGTTTCAGCAGTTTTGAAGGTTTCCGTAAGTATAACCAAGGATCCCAGCACCGTGGTGCTGGGTGACATCAGCGCCTTGGCCGAGATCGACTTGAAGGTAGCGAGGGATTCACTGGATGCCCTTCTGCAAAGGAGGTAGAATGCTGTCTTCGTGTGCCAATTCTCTCGCTTCTGGAAGGGGACCCCACTGGCAGCTGCCAGGCAGGCAGCTTGTCAAAATGAGCAGTCGGGATCATGTCACAGAGGATTCCCGCCGGAAGGCTGGAGAAGTGGTAGAGAGTGAAGACATGAAAGGCGTTCTCGCCGCGTGCCGGTCGTTTCGCTCCAGGGGCGCGGGATGCAGCATGCCAGTACGGATGCAAGAATTGATGCAGAATGGATTCGTGCACCGGCACACGCTCACATATTGCGGTGTGCGCAGCGTGCCTGCGCACGTGCGGGCTTGCGCGCAATACGGTAGGCGGCAATGCAGGTAGGTAGATAAGACAAGCATGACAAGATACGACAGGTAAAAGAAGGCGGGTGGGCAGTGATTAGACGTTCTGGTTCTTTGAGGGTGTGGCAGTCACGGACTTGAGGCTTCCAACTTCAGTTTAGACCCTCGATTGCGATCTGCCAACTTGATCTCAGGGCCGACGCGGAGGAAACACCATGATCCTGCATAGGTCCTGTCACATCCAGCTCTCTGAAATCTTGGAGTTCGATCTTCTGCACGGGCACATAGCTCAGTCTCCCAGCACCCCAAGCATGGACTGCACCCTTCCCTAGACATGTTCCGCGCATGCTTGCCACCCGGTGTCCCCGTCCTATATCTGTACCTACATACTTGATTGCATGACACTGAAGACATGCAACAAAGCAGTCACAATCATACGAGCCCATGTGCATGCTTACCGAGTCCTTCGAGAGTTTGCCGACCAAGGCATGAGCTCCCCGGGAATGTGAAGCCGCAGGACTGTCGGGCCAGTTTGGGGTTGTCCGGCACTGCGCCAGTCGCGCGCAGCGGATGTTCGGATTCCAGGACTGCGCGCTGAGCCCTGCGCTGATGGTAATCGACTCTCGCAGGTGGCAGCGGGCAGCTCAGCGTGCCGTGGAAGCTACGCGCAAGCCTTGCAGCGGGATTCTGAGTCTCCTCTCGCTAGGGCCGAAAACGTCTCTGGCAAGATCCTCACTTGGCTGCAGCGCTACCGAGACCAGCCGCTGGAGGAGGAGTGTCAAGAGACTCAAAGTTGTCAGGAAACATCAGGCCAACGGTAACAGGATTTTGTTTGTGGAGCAGTTACGGGCATTGAACAACGGGCATCAGAAAGGAAGGCTGCGAGAGCTGTGAAGTGACAACTCAACAAGTGCTGCTGCGCTGCTCCATGATCATCGACATGCAATAATAGGGCCATTACCGGAAGGTACTGTGGGAGGACGTTTGTGATTACGTAAGACAGCAGTTTGTACAGACTGAGATGTAGTACTGTTGTAGGTTTGGCACTGCCAGGACCTCTGGGTGAAGAGCCTGATCACGCCGCCGTTGATGTTGTCACTGGACCTTGCCATGTCTGCCCAGAAGCACCTGAAGCAGCCACGTTGTACGTCGAATCTGGTCCATTCGCTCATACAGCATGCCCCTGCACTTTGCAGGATGCATTCGTAGAGCTGGATCCTGCCTGGGCATGTGCCGACTTGGGGTCAGAGGACGCATCAGTTACATAGGATCTGTTGCAGCCAGCACTGTAAGGAAATGGATTGTCTGAACAGTAGAGAGTCGAGAGTCTGCACAGACCATGGAAGGAGCTGACAGCCCAAGAGACAAAGACCTTGCTCAAGACGGGCTTTACCCAAGAGGCAGCGAACCTAACCGTGGTTTCAAGTGCAGAGCTACCGAAACATGTCAGGACATGGCACGCTTGGTCGCGACCTTACTCTGCAAAGAGACAGAAACCATAACTCCAAGAACCTGCTGCATCTGAAAAACTCCACTCCGCTGCACATCCTGAGGACTTCGGAATTAGCCCTTCCGGGCGGCTGCATCCCGCGCTACACCTTTGCACGGTGCCTCCGGCGAGATTCTGACGACGCGCGCGCGCGAGCCGTAAGAAGCGGCACATGTCACGTAGCAGTTGCAAAGCACAGCAAAGAACACGAAAGAACACATAAGAACACACTAAGCCAAAGCCACGCCACACGCCTATCTGTGGCACACCGGGGAGCCAAGAGCTGCCAAGACTGAGAGCCGAGTTTTCGCAGGCCGGAGCCAAGTTGCCAGGCCCTCAGCGACTCACAGCCCAGCACAGACCGCCGGAGTCTTTAAGGCCTGCACCCCTGTCGTGCTGCTTAGGCTCCATTTCAATGGCCCCGAGAAGCCATGGCTGTTCTCCGAGAGGTCAGTGACTTCTAATGCCTCTTCATGCTCCACGTGCATGGTCTTTGCCTTGCCTGCTTCGCGCCAGATCCCCACCTGTGTGCGCCTGGCCGGAGGCACGGGTTGGGCTAACGTGCTTGTGTAACCCTCCCACGGTGCGATTCCATGTGGATGCCAATATGCTCACTTTTCGGACAGGGCATCTTGAGATCCACGCCTTGCTCCGAGAACGTTCGTATTGAATCAGGTTAAGAATTTGCATGATGGGTGTGCTAGCACAGGTCATGTATGCTGAGTTGCCCCTTGTCAGTGTTTGTACTTCCCTTTGGATTCGAGTAAGAGTTTTGTTTAGAGGAGGAAGCCGGCGGAGATTTGTGCATTCCAGCTTCAGGTGATTACTGAGTATGGGAGTGCTGAATCCAGCCTGTTTGGGAGCTTCAGTCCGGCACATCGCATGTCTTCGAAGGGCCTCCCTTCACTTTCAGAAGTGGTTTCACTTTCTTTCTGCTGAGAAGCCTGCAGCAGTCTGCAACTCTCCGGCTGTGGTGCTGACTGTGCAGGTGCCGGCTCCCCACGAAGGCCAAGGCCGGGTGCCGCAGGACCTCCGCGCCACGCAAAACATCACTGACGCGCTTCTGTGTCACAAGGCTGGTCTCGGGCCGGTGAACCGGAGATTGCCCTGCGTTGCAAAGCAGCTGGGCAGGAGCACTCGTAGTTCTCCCGCCACGAAGGTTCCGTGACACACCTAGCTGACCTAGCTTGGCTTACGGCGGCCTCTGGAAGTCTATGCACTTTGTGCAGGAGCTGCGCATGGTCAACTGTTCCAGCCTGTGGTGGGTCTGGGCCCTTGCAAGCCTGCCGTGTTCAGGGCCAGCGGGAGCAAAGTTGCTTCTTGACATTGTCATTCTGAGTCATTCTTGTGAATGTATTTGAAGGCGTTTCTCACGCCGGAGCAAGACTGCGGACTGCAGCACCGGCCTGCTTGTTCTTGAGATTTGCATAGCCGCGAGCGAGCAAGCAAGTGTCCCATTGTACTATGTTGAAGAGAAAGAGACGAGAGGATACGCGCATGAGCACGCGCGAACGCGCGGGGAGTACAGGGTGGTTCGCATGAGCAGGGAAAGAGCTCGGGGAGGCACTTCCTGCAACAGAGTCAACCCCGAAGCCCATGTCCAAAAGAATGGAGAAAGAGCTGGGCTGATGAGCCATTCTAGCGAAAGTCTCGACTGTTGTGGCTTTCTCGTGTTCTTATGGGGAGCACTTAGACGACTCGCGGATGACATGCAGCGGAAGGAGAAATCCATCAGACTAAAAACTAGGCTTCGGCTTGAATGCGCTTAAACAGAAACAATACAGTACACACTCCTCGCGGTAAGATCTGTCTAATTGAAGGCAATATTGGTTGAAGGAAAGTATTATATGATAAAGGAAACAGGAGGCCGCAGCCCAAAAAGTCCTTTCCAAGCAGAGGCAAAGGCTCGTGGAGTAGATTTGTGATGTGATTCCGAAGCGCGTTGGATGTGACAGGAAGGGCTACGATGCCGGTTGGCCGGATTCGAAGAAGGTCGCGAAAGAGGTTGAAAGAGTGTGTCTGGTACTGTTTCTCTGAGTTCCCGCAGTCTGTGAGCACTGGACTTGGGCATCTTGCAGGATTAGCCATTCTCCGAATGGCAAAGTCATTTGTGGTCAATGCACCAGAGGTTCTGGCCGAGTGCGGCTTCGGAAAACGATCGTGCCTGCATCGCTCTTGTCGCATTTTGCGCACTAAGCCTGGCCATCCAACAAGTGCTGCTAACTTCGACTGAGACAAGCTCTGAGAACTGCTGCGTGTAGATCAAACGGTAACTATGCCTCGCAAACGTGCCGCATGGGCTCCTTCATGCTGCTGCAGCCACTGCGATTGAAAGCACCCACCGCTGTGACAAGCCTCCAAGCGCAACCAGCCATGCAAAGCTCGTGGCCAGTTTGCCAAAGACATGAGGACTCTGGGGGAAAAGTCGGCATGGAGGAGATGTGAAGAGTTCGGTGTGGCTGATTCTCACTCGAGGAGGAGGTCACAGAACACTCCAAGTGGGACGCTCGAAAAGACCTTACGATGGAGCCTCAGCCTGCTGAACTCAGTGGCCGGGGTTGCATCTTGCGATCTTGTTGCCGAGGTCTTGTGAAGCCCTGGCTCCTGAAAGGAGGGATGCAGTTTGCAGTTTGGGACAAAGACTTTGACCGGAAGTGGCTAGTGAGGCTAGTGTCGGTGTGACTTGAATACGCCTTCTCCCCCCCCCCCCCCCCCCGAAGTCGTTTTGCAGCAGGGGCTCTGCACCCAGGTCCGGGGACTGAGGGTCGCAACAATGAACCTCTGGCGATGGCTGGGTTGAGCTTTTAGCTTGCCCGTTCCTAGTTCTTTCTGTGATTTTCGACACCGACTATTTTCCTTTCTTTGGATGTAACACCAGCCCTCGTGTCAATTGTTTGGCCTGGAATTCCTGCGGAATCTGAACTCCTCTTGCACCGGAAATTTCTGGTCCGATTATTATATTTGTGGAAGTGACTCAGCATTAAGGTTGAACGAGCTGCCGCGAGGAAGCTAGTCATGCAGAGGAAGCACGCAGAGTGCTCGCAGCCAGGAAGCCCAAACTTGCATGATTTGTCGTGACAGCGACACTGTACCAAAACATGCTAGATACTCCCAAGCTTTACCGCTTTTTGAAGTTTTGGCTGCAGCGGCCAAGCATGGAAGCTAACTGCAGGAGCCGTGTGCCTCGTGGTTCTCATCTTCGCAGACATTATCCTAGTCGCAACCCCGGACTACGCATTTGATTATGCGTCCGTTTAGCTCCTCCTGTATTTTGCGGCTGAAACTGATTGCAGACTCCAAGGAGGGTGCAAGGTGTAAAGACGGTGCTAAGCGTGTCTCGTAGCTGGTCTGAGTCTCAGGCTCCCGCTGCGAAGGGACAGGGATGGTTACGATGGAAGACGGGTCTCCGCAGAGCCGGCTCCAAGCTCAGACGGAGGGCCACTTGCGCCTTGCGCCTGCCGGAGACTGCAGGGCAGGAATTCAGACTCGGTGATTCTTCGGCCCCAAGACCCCCCTACTTGTAGTGAAGTTCGAGGACCAAATCAGTAGCCAAGGCCGCTCGACAAGCACAGACAGCATTCATGCCTTCCCGACGTACTTCATCTCGAGGGCAGGGGACATACCCGCATGAGGTTGTCTTCATGGCCGGAAGATCTATGTCATGTCTGCATTCGGTAGCCCACCGCAGCACCATCCTCTATCGAGCTATTGATGCCAGGTTTGCCTGACCAGCGACAGCGCCGATTTGCGTGCCGCCGCAGTAGCCATCCAGTCGGATCGAAGCTCGGTGGTGCTCACATTCTCTTTGCAGTCTCCGGTTGCAGACGTAGGCTAAGAACTGAAGGCATGGACGAATGCGGAGAGCCCGGACAGGCCGTGTGCCAATCGTGGGGCTGTGCTGGATGACACAAATCACCTGTATCGGGTTTGATGAGCACGCCGGGGCTTAAGTAGAGATGGTGATTTGTCTTGTCAAACGAAAAGATTGAAACACAACGATAACGCCGATTTCCTGCTAAACGATAAAGACGATGGAAACAACAAAATTAGCAGTCAAGCAAAAGGGTGTTATTGTAGCTCCTTGACCTGCAGCAGCACGACGCTTTCCGGCTTTTCTCGATCGTCTGTTGTTACTTGCTGTTGCAAACGACAGGCTTATCTTCCACCTCATCACAACCACTGAGCTTGTACCGGCCCCAACAGCACAGGGTTCTGTTCTGTTCTCTCCGGGCTTCAAAGGTGTCACCCTTGATGTTGTGAACTGCCCTCAAGCCGGGTTCAAGAGTGTGTTTCCTCGAGACCTTGCAGCCATGGTCTTCTTCGGCCAGCCCCCGGATCCGGCTGCATTAAAGAATTACTTCCCTGGCATTTCAGCGAAAAGCTTCAGCCCTGCGTCGGCATCTGTTTGCTATCGCGAAAGCATCCAGAAGGAAAACAACGCGCGCAGCGATGCTTACGAGAGCGAGAAACTCAGGCATGGGACCATGGACCAGTACAGGGGAGTAGGGCGTGGTGTGCAATAGACCCAGAATTTAAGACAAACCGCCCAACGCTCCGCAACGTAAAGCAGCAGTTTGCACCCTAAATGCGCAAACCTGATGCCACACATGTGCACACAGGCAAAGTCAGAGCTCCTCAAAATCTACAGAGCGGCGGCTGGGCGAGACCCTTCCCGGTCAGGGCAGCATCAGCTCTGCCTACAGCAGCAGAGGCTGGAAACAGGCTACCTCAGGACGCTGGCTGCCACCCGATTTCCCAGCGACAACTCCCGATGCAGGCTCCTTGTCCGCAAACGTTGGTCTCGGCGTGCACAGCTCCATGCAAGACTGACTCAAGCCAGGTGCGAATCATGCCGTGACGGAGCCACCGAGATCGGCGCAGTCAGAGCGGCCCAGATCTAGAGCTTCTCGGTGATAATGTCACAGTAGGTACAGCAGATGCTGTAGATTCCTCGTAGATCGTCGAAGGAAGCCGGAGGATGCAGTTAGGTGGCCTCCGAGGGTGCGAGGGCTCATGTCTTGCGTCAGGGGCTGCCTGATTTGCACGTGACGGATATGTGGCGCACCACCAGCTGGTCCGACTTCGGCCCGAGCCGTTTGCTAGATGGTCCGAGCCTGAGGATGGTACCGGCGGCTAGAGGCCGTGGGTACTCATGCAACCCATGCCATGCCATCCCATGCCATGAGGTCCAGGTGCGAAGGGTGCGAATGCGCATGACGACCGAGTGGCCGAGCTGGTGAAAGCTCGCTGCGGTGCGCGGCAACGGCCCAGGAAGGTCACCAGCGTGGCTCGGCCCGAAGCGTCTCCTGAAGAAAGTCTGTATGCGCATTTATCATTTTTGCGCCTTTTTGCATTCGAGCTGAGGTGAGTGAGCTAGACTTCATTCCACGAGCTCCGTGGTGCTGACGCACGCAAGGTAAAGCTAAGTGCAGAGAGGATCCGGTCCATGTCAAGAGACCACCTCGTTTCCTTTTATCTGGGCTTTGGCCCGTGCAAACAAACGTGTCCATTGTTTGGGATGCTTCCCAACGTTTTATGCCGGCGCACTGCAAGCAATCTGAAGGATCGCCTGCACCATTATAGGCGCCATTTTCCGCATATATCTTGAGATTGAAGCGAGATTCCGTCAGGAGATATGTTTGATGTACCAGATGCTTCTCGCAGTTTCACTGCCCGTCCGGCAACTCACTACTAGGCCGGGGAGGTCATCGCAGACTGCTGGAACTGTTTCTGGGTCTGCCTTCCCTGGCTAGCCGATGCAACCGACCCGTGCGTTGGATGCACTACAAACCCGCCTTTGCATCGGGACGAAACGTCGCTTGCATGGGCTTGCTACGACTTGAACGCTTCTGGTGACACACTGCAGCAGTCACAACCACCAAGGCGCCAATTTTCGAAGAGCTTGTCCGTCCCGGCCTCGATGGAAGTGTAGCATCCTTTGTGCTCAGCTTCAACTCGACCAGCCGACCAGCCATCAAGGTGCCCACTTGCCGGACATTGCTGTGAAGGCCGGTGATTGCCTGTACACAGCTGATACATGTAGTGTCTGACAGTGACGGTCACTCTCGGACGGCTTCTTGCATGTCATCTACTTACCCGGACATGAGTGGCGACTCTGCTGTGTCCCTCCGGCAGTCCAGTCGGTCCTACGGTTGAACACTGGCACCTGCAGGTGGTCGCAGATCAAGCCCTGCAGGATCGGATCTCGTCGCTTCTGCGCAGATTGGGCTCTGGGGGCTTTGCAGCTGCAGCTGTCAGCACTGCGGTTCCTGCGGTCTTTCAAGCAATGCTAAGTGTTGTGCTTCACGAGCTCGGAAGCTTGAGTGTGTGGCGGACCGGGCATGCCAGGTCGCACATCACTTTTCGGAAGAGCTCCAAGGCCCACACGTGCCACATGCTTTGAGGCTGTCTGGCCTTGCA